AACGAATATTTTTAAAATAACATATAAGCTTTGTTTCTATCATCATTAAAAAGATTAAAAATTACTTCTACTGATTTTATGTTTGTTTCAGTGACTTCAAGAAAAAAATAGTGTTTTAATACATCCCAATTGTCAAGAAATCTAAAAACACATTTCTGTAAGGTAAGCCATCTAGTTCCCGATAATTTCAATAATGTACGAGACTCTACACCAAAATATTCTTGAAATTCCCGTAGGTTTGCAGATCTTTTTGCACTGCCAGAAATATAAGTTGTAACTGATTGTAATAAATTTTCCCATGAATCCGGCAATTTTGCACAAGCTTTATTAGCAATAAGAGCTGAGGAATGGCAAATACATTTTAATATAATGAGGGCCGGTACCTGTTTCTTTAATCTACTTGCAAAAGAGTTATGATTTCCTATCATTACAGAAGCGTTATCTGAAGCCTACAATATTACTTAAAGGAATATTTTTACTTTTTAAACAATGCTCAAATGCAGAGTACAATTTCTCTGCAGAGCAATCGACTGCATCTAATTTAACTAATTGTAATAATTCTGTAATACATTGCTTCGGTAATATATTATTATCTGGTGAGACATATTTAACTAAAATGCATAACATCTTTTCATTACTAATATTAGTACTCTCATCCACTAAAATTGAAAATTTTTGACTCTTTAAATTATTAATTATTCTTTCATCTTCAACTTTTGCAATTACATAATTTTTCATAATTTTAACACATTTAGTCTGTGACAGTGTAAGATCTTTTATAACCGGGGAAGCACTACCAATTTCTTTTAAGAGAGGAATAAGATGATCCATTATTTGAAAAGCAATATTGTGTTCACTAAAAAACGCGGTTAATTTTATTTCTGCAGATTTAACTTCATTAATATGATCTCTATTCTCTTTATTGCAGGCAGCAGAAGGCATTGAAGCAAATGGATTGTTATTATTAATACGACTGTTCGCGATGTTATTTTTATGTTGGACCCTATGTGCGTGCCTAATGAGTTCTGACGTACCGCTTATTAAAACTTTGTCACATGCTGTACAGTAGGCTTTCCCATTGTCCTGATGAGCGGTTATAAAGCCAGTCTTTTAATTCAGGGTACTCTATCCATGCAGTCTGAAAAGTTTTTATCTTCTGCTTCTATCCTGTACCGCTTGTAGATGGTCGTGGGTGATCCATTTCAAAGTCTTTCTTCTTCTTCTTGCACAGATGAGTATGTATATACTCATTACACACTTCACGTGGCACACTTTACTTGACACACTCACTGCATCACGTCCCGCGTTAACATAACAACAATATGACCGTTAGTATTCCGGTAAACAGTTGAGCATCAATCTTTTAGGCCGGGCTCACAACACAATCTGTATTATCGATTTATCATGATTGACTGTTACCATAGGTGCGTTCGTGGAATATGCTATTGGCATTAAAAACACCAGATTTTTCTTCGATATACAGGGTGATTCAGAACAACCACTTGTCCTTAAAATGTCGTATTCTAAACTTAATTCTGAAATGATTTTTTCTCTTGCAAAATTTTCTCCGAAGCTTAGTTTTTGAATTATAAAGAGGAAAAGATATCGAATGACGGGCCAGATACTAGAGGCAGGCAGGAGCGGCGCGGCTCACCGTCGTCGCGGGCGCTTACGGCAAGAGCGCCCGCGACGACGCTGCCATCAGCTGATCGCGACGCGCTAGTACACACACACATTCTCTCTGTTATCACGTGAACCAATGCACGTGATTGTATCTCGAATCGTCTGGAGATCGGCGTTTTCTCTTATTGATACGGATAATGGGATTGCTGACACCAATCACTTAGATGGACTATATGGATAACTTTATTTCACACAGAATGCGGCCGCCATGGCTCACGTACAACGACGAACTGTCGGCAGGAGGGCAGATCCCCAAAGTCAGCGCGCGAGCGCCATCCACGCAACTACCGTCTAGGGCCTTACGTACTAGGGGCTCCCCTACTAGGGAATCAACATCCCGCGCCCCTTGAAAGGTCTACCTTTCAAAACATAACAAAGAAGCCTAAGTAATGCTCTCATTTGATTCGTTACTAATAAACATAAAAACAACAGCAGACCTTGCCTCGCATTAATCAGATATCGAATTGAACTTCACATTCAGTACGTAGTCACCTTAAAACTATCACGCAACTTATTTCTAATATCAACTTATGGCACGAAACGAAACAGCCTTCTTTGCTTAAATCTAGTGAGTTGACTCAGGTAACTAATTAACAACATTCGAATCCTCGAACGGCAATACGCAGATTTTTCCCAACGATCGTTTTATCAATCCCGTGGCTGTCTTCAAACCGACTACGCGAATTACACCATCGACTCCAGGATACAACTCCGTTACGCGACCAAACTTCCAATTAAGAGGTGGTGTGTTTTCCTCCTTTAACAGCACCATCATACCTATCTTAATTTCGATCGGACCGTTAGTCTTCCACTTAGACCTTTGTTGCAAGTACGACAAATATTCGTTGGTCCATCTAGACCAAAAATGCTGAACGAGTTGCTGGAGACGTTGGTATTGATTCAGTCGATTGGTCGGTAATTCGCTTAGTGCTACCTGCGGCACTGCCGTGAGCGATTTGTTAATTAATAAATGCCCCGGCGTTAAAATCTCAAGATCATTAGGATCATCTGACATCGGGACCAATGGTCTGGAATTCATAACTGCCTCGACTTGCGTAATCACAGTGTACAGTTCCTCAAACGTTAAATGCGCATTACTCGTGATCCTACGAATGTGACATTTTGCACTCTTCACTGCCGCCTCCCAAAGGCCCTCAAAATTAGGAGCCCGCGGGGGAATAAAATGCCAAGTAATAAGGGACTGCGACAAAAAATTCGCAAATTTACTGTCCTTTAGTATGTCACCTAACCATTTGGAGATTTCGCTGAGCTCATTCTTTGCCCCAACGAAGTTAGTTCCATTATCACAATAAATGTGTTCGCATAAGCCGCGTCTTGACACGAATCGCTTTAACGCGTTTAAGAATGACTCGCTGGTAAGATCACCTACCAATTCCAAGTGGACAGCCTTGGACGAAAAACATACGTACACGCATAAATAAACCTTAACGATTTTTCTATTCCTGAGTTTACCATCTTTGATAAATAATGGGCCGGCAAAATCTATACCGACCCTTGCGAAAGGCTTATCGGCCCTCAAACGCGAGCTTGGTAAATCTCCCATTTGATAACTTACATTCCGAGGCTTTGTTCGAAAACAAGTCATGCATTGGAATATCACCCTTCTAACGGTACCTCGACCGTTTAACGACCAAAAACGTGTTCTAACCGCTGCTAGTGTACCCGCTAATCCGGTGTGTAATTGTTTTTTGTGTTCGTGCATTACAATTATT